TTCCAGAAATGTATTTGATTTCAAAACTGTATTCACTCAGTATTAGGCTCCAACGATGTACTCGACTGTTTCCATATTTGTTATTTAATATAGATGTTAAAGCTTGGTGATCTGTTTCTATAGTAAATTCATTACCCAACAAATAAAATCTTAATTTTGTGACACAGTGTATAATACTAGCTAGTTCTAGTTCTGACACTGAATAACCTTTTTCATGTGGCTTTGTAATTCTTGATATGAATTGTATCGGGTATTCGACCCCATCATGTATTTGTAGTAATACCCCTGATAATCTTTCTATTGAGGCATCTGTTCTTAATATGAATGGCTTTGTATAGTCAGGATGGTATATTTTTAAATTTGACAGAAAAATGTTTTTGATTTCTTGGAATGCTAGTTCTCTTCGCTGGTCCCATTTCCATTTTACACCTTTCCTTAGTAGTTCAAGTAATGGAATTTCTTTTATACTTAGTTCTGTTATCATCCTTTTATAATAATTAATTATTCCAATAAATCCTCTTAAAGTTCTTAAATTGTGTGGTGTTCTATATTCCTGAATAACCTGTGTCCGTTCTGGATCCATTTCAATTCCCTTATTATTTAGTTTATAACCTACATATATTACTTCTTCTCTGTATTTATATGGTATTGGGTACGATTTTGTTTTAAAATCTTTTTCTTCTTTTACTTTTATACTATGAATATAATTGTGTGCAATTCTATTTTCTTTATTAACAAGTCCCTTGTGTTGCTGCAATATGGAAATGACTATTGATTTATATTCTTCAGGGCAACTTAAAACTTTTATCATATTCTTTTCTTTACAAATAAAATTATTTTTCATTATGTAATCATTATTCCTTTCAGTTTTACGCACTCTGCCTCGTAGGCATCCATCTGCTTTTTTCCATTCCTTAAATATTTATTACAATTATTCTTTACATTCTTTTGGGACATCTCCCTATCATCAAAATACATTTCTTCTTCATAAACATCATTACTTTCTTTTAATAATATCCTATCAATTCTTATTTCTTCTTCCTCCTCATCTTTCTGCATAAACTTAATTATTTGCCCTTCCAAAGTTACAACTTTTTCTTCAAAATCTATCTTGACTTTCTTCTTTTCCAATTCATCATTTCCCATTAATATATCAACACATAAACCCTTGACAATAAATCCTTGCATATTAATTTCTTTATTAAGAATATTAATTTTAAAATTGGCTAGTTTATCAATTTCACCCAACTTCTTATTATTTGCACCAACTATTTTAATTTTTGGAATCTTCATTATATCTGATAGTTTTAATGTATTAAAAATAAACTTTTCCGAGACTAAAGTACTTTCTGAACCAGTCTCTATCATAATCTTAATCATTTTATTTTTGGCCATAGCATTTATATAAATTAAATTAATAGATTCAATAATTGTATCTTCATCTAAAGAAATAAATTCAGAAGGTTTCTCATAATGACAATGACCACACTTGTAATTCAGAAAGTTTACTGCATAAAATTTGGATTGTTAGAATTATTCTCTAATTGTGTCTGACCAATTGGTTCTAATGTCCTATGTCTTTCACTACTATGACTTCTACTCATATTTTCCTACCTTGTACTATTTCGTTCTCTATCTTCGCAGCTTCTGTTCCTTCGTATATGATTTACCTGTCTGTTATAATTAGGTCGTTCTGTATTTTTCCTATTGTTAAAATCTTGTCTATTATAATTAGTATTGTTATTAACATTTTGTCTATTTTGATTAATATTATTGTTATTAAAATTTTGCATAATATTACCATATCTATTATTATTATATGATTGTCTGTATTGTTGATTATTATTCTTATTATATTGAAAATTATTATTGTTTTTTCCCAGATTTAGCCATACGGCTCACACTCCCTCTAAGGGGAAAATTCACTCATCCCAGATACCTACGGTATCAAAAGGATTGAGCTCTGGTGGGACTCTTTCCATGTTATCGAGCCCTAGGTGACTTGGTATATTGGAGTATCTCCCAGAAATTTTCGTACACATCTGGACGTCGCGAGGAGTACAGCTTTCTGCATGGCCTTATAAAGATGTTCATTTAGACCCAGCTGTTTTATGTTCGCTAGGAGGTTTTGGGAATAACACCAGTAGTAGATAGAACAATAGGTAGTGTCTGGGTACTTTCCATTCTCCATTGTCTCCTGACATGGAGACATTGTCTCCTTTTTTCTATTATTATTATTATTATTATTCGTCCTAATATCATTGTTATCATTATTACTTGTCATATTACCTCTTTGTATTCTTTGAATAAAATTGATAAAACTATTTATTGTTTGAATATTTTGTACAGTTACTGTTTGCACAACATCTGTATCAAAATGTCTAGATACATTTAAAACTGTTTCATCTTCTCTAAGTGGTGGTTCTAAATACTTTGCAACTGTTATTAGCTTTAATGCATAATCTACCATATTAGATCTTAAATTAGGATTATAGTTTCC